TACAAGGTAAAAACAGGCTATATACTGCCAACAACTGAAGGTAGATCACCATACTAGGGACCATGGGGACTTGCAGTACATTTGCTTCCTGCATGGACCCTAGCTTGATTTACACCATCCCTTCAGCTATTACCAATTTTAGGTAATCTACCCACAAACTAAACGAACATATATTCTACTATTAAAATGGAAGTAGGTTTAAATTTACTTTGAATGTTTTGGGACTTACATATCCTCTCAGGAGGACAATAATTTTATAGTACTTTAACCCCCCAAAAAGGTACAGCCCGTGACAATCTAAGTTACTAATCTAAACTACATGTCATTGAAATACATCTATCTACAGAACATATTAATCAAAATGCATTAAGTAAATCAAGCTCGTTTAAAAAAACAAGAATTAAATGAAAATGAACAGTATTAAAAAGATCCTGAACAGTTTTAACATTGAAATATTTATCCCTTATGATGGAGAATTCAACACAGTCAAGCAGGAGATGTTTGACTGTTACTCTCTCATCACAAGGGATACAAAACGAAAAATCTTCACCTTTTAACAGACATTTGTGAGTATAACGCGTATGGCCAATGCGACATCGTCACATGATGACCTCAAATCTGGACTGAAAACCCAAGTAGGTGTTAACAATATAAGGTTTTATTTCATGTAATTTATTGATACCTACTTGGGTGTCCCACTTCTTCTGCATCAGATCATGGATGTAGGTTCTAATGCTAGCTTTGTGATCAGAGAATGGGAAAAGAAGTGGTGCCACAGATTCATTGAGTGCTGCCATTGTATTCCCAGAAATGCCAATGTGGCTGGGTAACCAACACAGGACGATGTCGTATTGGCCAGTAGCAAGATCATTATATAGTAAAAAAATCTCAATTAAAAGTGGATGTTTACAAGAAAGATTTTTAATAGCCTAGAGGCAAGACAGAGAGTCGGAAAAGATTATATATTGTTTATATTTAGGATGTCTATTAATATTTCTAAGAGCTGCTAGTATTGCATGAGCTTCAGCTGTGAATATTGAGCTGTCATCAGGTAATCTGGAGGATATTGTTCTGACAGTAATAAATGTATCTACAGTCAAGTACATTCCACATAAATAATTACCACTATATTATTGATCCTTGATGTCTAGACTTGCAGATGTATCGATTTCCCATATGCCTAACGGATCCTTTTGTTTTATGTTAGTTAGTGCGATCAGGAGGAAGCTAAAGATCTCTCAGTAGCTATCGTTGGAAAACAATGAGAAATATCCAACCATCATAAAAGCAAGTCAGGTTTGTTTTTGGAGAATATTTCAGCAATATCACGGCGGCGACAGTAGAAATAGGCTTCATACATAAAACACACATGGGGAAATGAAGTCGGGTTTCAGGGAACGCTGTAACCACAAGGCTACCCATATTATGTCAAATGGGTTAACATTTCAATTCAGAGTCACCTCTTTCAACAAACAGGTGTTTTTTGTGTGGCCTTTATGGCATGGGGTAACTCAGACCAAGGAGAATCATTCTGTCCTGTCTGAGTGTCATTTGAAGACATGGATGTCAGTTCTACATGGCGTTGTGCGTATTTGCAGAAACATCAAGTCGACTTGTATACTGCCAACATTAAAAATATGAGCTATAAATACCGCCCGAATGTGTGCGTTGTTCATTGTGAGATGAAGACTTGACAAAGAGATTAAAATACAGCTAATGCATCGGTTTTGTTAATTAACTCACTTACAAAACCTGTAACATAGGTGACGCATAACATTCACGCCATCATTGCACGGAACACATTGTCTTGATGGGCTGACAATACATGAATCGTTTAAAACATTAAACATGATGCAACATAATCGTAATGTGGGCCCATAATACCATCACACCCATTAACTACCCTCCAGCATGTCTACAATAGCATGCCTTATTGAGATCATTGTTTCATTTATCGATTTGGGAGATCAAGTTTCATCTCTGCTTTTAATTGATCCATTCATACACAGTAAGTTCTAACCGCTTTAAACATTTGTCCTGTAACTTTCAAACAGAAGTTTCTGTTCGATTTGATAATCGATAGTGCTTGTTGTCTGGCGTTGATGATTTCAACTTCACTTGGGTTGATGCGTCTCCTGCTGGAGGATTTAAGTCCTCTGTGGCGTTTCTCCATTAAGCTGAATCAGACATTAATACAACATTGACCCTACAAAAGACCTTGTGAGTGCTTATATTAAATTACTCACCTCATTGTTGAAAATTGAACATTTTGTGAGCAAATATTTGATAGCTTTACTGGATTTACTTTTCCAATCCCTGACTGTCTGGTTTGTTTTCAGGCCGCCATTCCTCCAGGGTACTGCTGTATGACCTATAGTAACAAACACACACACATGCAAATTGTGTGAACGACGGGTACTTACCTTTTCTGTCAGTGTCGCCGCTGATTTCTTTCTCGTTTACCCAAGATGAGCTAAATATACTTGCTTTCAAGTGAAACTGTCTCAATGACAGTTGTCACCTGTAGCACAGGACATGTTTACAACGTTGTGGTCACAGACTGACAGTGGTCCATTCAGGCAATGTTCACAGAATGGATTGCCCAAATACGATGCTAGTCAGGCTGACAGTGACCCATTCACGCAATGTTGAAGGAATGGATTGCCCAAACAAGATGCTAGTCACACTGACTATGGACCATTCAGGCAATGTTCACAGAATGGATTGCCCAAATAAGATGCTAGTCACACTGACAATGGCCCATTCACGCAATGTTCACAGAATGGATTGCCCAAATAAGATGCTTGTCAGACTGGCAATGGCCCATTCACGAAATGTTCAAGGAGTGGATTGCCCTAATAAGATGGATGCTAGTCAGACTAACAGTGGTCCACTCACGCAATGTTCAAGGAGTGGATTGGCCAAATAAGATGGTAGTCAGAATGACAGTGACCCATTCACGCAATGTTCAAGGAGTGGATTGGCCAAATAAGATTGTAGTCAGACTGACAGTGGCCCATTCACGCAATGTTCAAGGAGTGGATTGCCGAAATAAGATGCTAGTCACACTGACAATGGCCCATTCACGCAATGTTCAAGGAGTGGGTTGCCAAAATAAGATGGATGCTAGTCAGACTGACAATGGCCCATTAACGCAATGTTAAAGGGCTGGATTGCTTAATACGATGCTAGTCAGACTGACAGTGGTCCATTCACGCAATGTACAAGGCGTGGATTGGCCAAATAAGATGGTAGTCAGACTGACAGTGGCCAATTCACGCAATGTTCAAGGAGTAGATTGCCCAAATAAGAAGCTAGTCACACGGACAATGGCCCATTCACGCAATGTTCAAGGAGTGGATTGCCCAAAGAAGATGGTAGTCAGACTGACAGTGGCCAATTCACGCAATGTTCAAGGAGTAGATTGCCCAAATAAGAAGCTAGTCACACTGACAATGGCCCATTCACGCAATGTTCAAGGAGTGGATTGCCCAAAGAAGATGGTAGTCAGACTGACAGTGGCCAATTCACGCAATGTTCAAGGAGTGGATTGCCCTTATAATCTTGTATTCAGACTTACAGTGGCCCATTCAGGCAATGTCCACTGAGTTGATTGCCCAAATAATATTTGGTTTCTGAGGCTAGCCAAGAAGGTGTAATCGTTTACTCCAACGTATGTATATTTGGAAAGGAAATGCTTAGTATCATGACTGGATTGGTACAAACATTTCAGGACTCAAAACAGTTTTATGTAAACACGACTACAGGGGAAGTACACAGCCATCATGAGATGAAACACATTGGTGCACGATACCAAGTTTTCGAGTGCGTGTTGAGTACCCTAGTCTTCAGTACTCAGAAACTCATTTATCCCTGATTGTTATAGGGATGAAATAACAAATACACATATGTAGAAGGTGTGTGTGTGTGTGTGTGTGCGCGAGAGAGAGAGAGGGGGGGAGGGGGAGGGAGAGAGAGAGAGAGAGACAGAAAGAGAGAGAGAGAGAGAGGGGCAGAACAATATATCCTGAGTGATATCGTTTTGTCAGTAGAGTTTCTACTATGCCTTGACGTCATCAGTTGCATGACACCATAAACTTGACTAGGTCACAATGCTTAAAGTCTAATGGCAAAACTAATGAAGAGTCATTTGTTTATGTTAAATAGAATCTCGCCCCTGTGTCCTCTGATACCAAATATACCAACACTCGTTATTAAAAGTTAAAAAACATGTAACTTTATCAACTCCTGTTGATATAATTGATACCAGTAGACACTTGGGAGATATTTGCTATATATCCAGTACGAAGCACGCATGTGTGAAGGCACTGTTAGTTTATCTAGAGACGTTAATGAGGATTAAAATATATTATTGTTTGATGGTTAAACAGTAACATGAACTATGGCACATATGCACTCTGCTGCAGGTAAGATTCTTGTGGCGGGCGTACTCGATAACATATTGATCGAATGAGGCAATAGTTATAATCTTGGGTACAGAAACAACAGCTGTCAAATATGTTCAAGAGTTACACATTTGCATCAGGCAGAAGTTAAGGGTCTTAATGACAATTGGAATATGTTGCTTTGAGATACATAAACATCGAATCATTCAGTGATATGCTGCTTGATCAGTTGCTAATAGCTTGATTATAGAAGGAAGGTATTTCACTCCGGATAAAGTGCTACTAATGGGCTCTTTAAAACACCAGCCTGTTATTGATGCTGTACAATATGGACCAACGGCAGGCCAGGCAATGATATGCTTTAGGTAGATATTGTATATGTACACTCTATTACTCTACAAGACATGTGTATTGGCTGTGGACTGCTGCTGTGAACGTAAACACACGCCAGTGTGCTACGCACAATCAATTTCTCAGACAAAGAGTGCTTATGGCACATATAATTTCTTGCCTTTAGACTTGGAATAAGTGCACGTGATTCACTTAAGAAACAATAACGGTTATTCCCGTTAATCAGTCTTGATCAGTAAACAATGCTCTCTTCAACAAGTACCACCATGATAGTATTTCAAACAGCTAACATGTTGTTATTAGCAGTCAAGTTTCAATTAGTTTTATCTCAGTCACTCAACAATACGGACACTTGTAAGAAGATGGCATTCTATAGGAGGCCTGAGATGGATGATCTGGTGTTTACCAGGAGCCTGATAGAAGAGATGAACCAGGTGGACATGAGGGCTGAATGTTTCCCTCTATGTCACCGTCGGGAGTTGTGTAACCTAGTCTTGTACAACTCACTGACAAGGAAGTGCAGAGTATACACTGAAGCCTTTGGCTCGATCAGTGACGGCACAGTTGAAACTGGATGGCAGTACTATGGAAGTGAGTATTAATGAATAATTAGAAAAGACCCATTTGAATATTCTTTTTAAATGAATGTCATGTGTGGAGTTACCATTTTCTCACACTAGGCTAGGCCTACACTAGGCTCTCACACTATTCTTTCGCGATGTTAAATCGACTTGTTTTCAGACATCATATATTGCAGTGTTTAATGATATGTTAAGAACATACTGTCTTATGGTACCGCAATTTTGCTACTCATACAACTATACAACTGTTCAGTTGATGTAATGCAGCAAATGATCGCGATTCGGTATTAGTGCAGATATTTAATTTTTCTTTTAACAGTAAGGTTGGTTTAAAAACGTTGTTGCTCTTTGGTCTATTTCTGAATTATGTTCTATTCATCTCATGGGTGTAGCAAAAGAGGAATTCTGAATATAACACTGAGTAGGTGACAAATGAGGAATCTGTCAAAATGTTCACCAGTAGTAAAGTGAGTGAGTGAATTAAGATTTATAGTCACATCGGCAATATTTCAGCCATATCGTGACTTAAAAAGAAATATATTGATAATAAATGCACCAGTGGTAAAGATGGTGACGAATGCCTCTAAACGAATATTACCGTTTGAATTTTGGGATCGAGAGCCCATCATTAAAACTTTTATCTGGACAAATTGGAATTTCAATCAAACATTGAAATGGCCCAGGCAGGGGCATCATGCCTTAACCTTTACTAAATGAAATTTAGACTGATGATATTTTGAGCGACTTGTGGACAAACTTCAGTAGTTTGAAGACTATCGTTTGTCTCACTGGAAGCCAGTGTAGTTCTTTCAGCACAAGTGTTATGTGCTCCTGTACCCTGGTCCCGGTGATGGGTCTGTCTGCACAATTTTGTACTCGCTCAAGTGTTACCCTTGCAGTGTTGATATTGTGCTCCATACTAAGGTCGGTTGCAGTGGTCTATTATTAATGGGACAAAGAAAGGATCAGACATTTGACGGTATTCCCGTCTACATATTTGTTCATATTTCCAATGTTCCAGATATGATAGTATGCAGTTTTGCAGACGTTGCTCACATGCTTGTCCATGCTGGAGGTTGAGTAAAAATCACACCCTGATTTTGAACATTTGGGCTTGGGTCGATTGTTACTTCATCAATTACCAAAGTTGGGTATTTTCCGTATTGGCTTCATTTGGGATGACAAGATCACAAGATACTGGATTTTATCATCATTTAGTTTGAAAAAGGTTGCTTGTTATTCATCGCCTGATATCTGCAATTATTTTTTTAATACTGTCAAAAGTGACCTCAAATAAAGGTGGAACCAATGGCTTGGGTGTTAGCTGGAATCTGAGACAGTGTGTCCTTGTAATGTCTCCTACAGAGATGGTGCGTACAGTGAAAAGTACTCCATACCTAGCTTTACAGAATCCATTTATGATAGTGAGTGAGTGATTTAATATTTAAAGTCCCATCGGCAATATTTCGGCCATGTTGTGACGACAACATATTTGACATTGAAATGTAATATGTGTATATTATAAAAACCTGCCTGCAAAGGACAGTAAATTAACTAGAATATCACAATTACAACTCAAACTAGCATTGAAATTTAAAACTAATAGCACTATTTGGACAATACAATATCCATTCATAATAACGGATTGTTGTCGATCTGCAAGGAATGATGCTAACTACGGGAATACATCTCCACTGACGCCAATACGTGATTTCAGCACAGATTCCAATAGATTTTCCCTTGGTTCCTAGTATAGTGATCTACCTTTTATATTGTATTGTCTTCTACAGTTAAACGTTTTTAGCTTTTCATACTAGTTTTATATCTAATCTGTGATCCTCTAGATATTTCACTGTACTTCGTTGACAGGGTTTTATAATTTGACTTTAGTTATTACAATTTTATTTATTATTCAAATCCTCGTCACGATATGGTTGCAGTATTGCCGATGTGACGTTAAATCGTAACTCACTCACTCACTTCAATAGATTTTCATATTGTATCTAACACTGAAGACAGATCCCATGAGTACGAGAAGAAAATCGCAGCTACATGAGTGTCACTGGCTTGAAGTGGATCATTCTGGACACGCAACAGACTAGTGCCCGCGCTGTGGCTTGACTTGGAGGCTGACTGTAGGACTTATCTAAGGTTGTCCACTCTTTCGGTTATTTTAGAGATAAAGACCAATAATCTGGAAGAAGATGCTGATGAAGCGTTGGCTTTTTCAAGGGGGACTTTAACAATGCTTCTTGACGCACAAACGGAAGCATCTGCCCTCTTAGTGGTTTATTCGTGATGGTAGTGAGAATGGGTGCAACAGCATCTTGACACTGTTTCAGAAGCCAAGTGGGCAGGAATCAAGGGTGCATGATTTCGTCAGACTCTTCATTAGAACTTTCTGATCTGTTTCTTCACAAGTTGGTGTGAATTCAAACAGTGGTGCCAAAACAGGAGGGTCAGGCACATCATGTTCTGCCCTTGCATCGCTGCTGTCTTCAAGTGAATCAAATGTTTTGCGGGTATTCTCATATTTTTGAGAAATTGTTGCTAACTGTTCTGCAGATGAGTGTTTTTTTTCATGAAGAGCAGGGAGTTTGCTACCTACTACACGAAGTGTCCTTAAGTTTCAAGTCAATGAGCTGATTCCATTTTTGATTATCGTGATTAGTTCAATTTAAGTATGACTGGTGAAAATATATGAATTTTTTTGTCTATGTCAAACCCATATTTGATATGAGTGATATAATGTATACAACAGTGTGGCTTGGGTTACAATAAGCTAATACATGACACAGGTAACGTTCTGGATTGTGTAACGTTTTGACATCAGACTTAAAAAAATATGTCCCTGTTTATGTTGTCTTGAGACGTTTTATTTTGTATTCCATTTACCTGAATTTGGGACTGCACAGCTACACACACGTAACAAGAAAATTTAATTCCAGAAAACCCAGATGCCTGGGTTGGTGACCTTAATGTTTCTGTTTCGTCCCCAGCTAACTGTGTCAACTTTAGACTTGACAATGCGCACGCAGATGTTGACGTCATCAACACTGCCCCCAAAGATGTCTGCAACTCGAACATCATTGCCTCCGACGACAACACATCTTCATGTTATGTTGGTGCATCATGGGAAGTGGTGCCAGTCAAGTGTGTGTCATGTTACACAGGCCTACCACAACAGTACGCGGTAGGTTGACGATAATCTGTAATGAATACATTAATATTTGGAATGGTGACATACAGGGCAAGACTGAGTACTTATCAAAGTGTTAACAAAAGAGTGAAATAAGACCATATTTATAAGAAGCAAATGGTTATGGTATATGTTCACATGTTTATTACTGTGAGTATACACTTGAGTATAAACATAAATTTGTAAATGAAACAGTTTGATACTTTTTTCAAACAGTATCCATACGCGGCACATACACAAGATTTGACCTTTGACCTTGCCGCAGGGATGAAGCTGAAGATGGAAGTGGCAGGAGACACAACTCCACCGTAAAATAACCTGTTTTCTACACTGTAGCAGATTTGTTTTGCACCGAATATTTTAGCAGTATATTTGCGGCACATATATAGTTCTGTTTAATGACATATACAATCGTGAATAGGTGGCAGAAGGGCCCATAGCATAAATATGATGACGAAATCTCCTCAACCAAATTGGATGTGGCGTTTATTCAGGGTAACCTTAATATAATGAGGACAACCAAATCCTTGACAAATAATGTCAGATTTGAATAAACTCCAATAACGTTTCACAGTGTCGCTATATAACATTTATGATATTCTTTTACCAGTGCATCTGCACAAATACATATACATGTCGTTTGTCACAGCAACGGTGTCTGGATGGTAACCCTGACCGAGGACATCGTGTATGTGTTGTCTTTGAGATGGGGCACTACCCCAACTGTAGCCATCTTCAACACCTGGCACGGTGGAGTATATGGAGCAGAGGAAAGACGGTATGGTCTGTCAGTGAACAACATCAGCAGCTACAGTATTGAAATCCACATCAGTCAGTCTACCTTCGAGGTATGCAACGCGCACATCTTTAAGGTGAAATCTAAGATATGTATGGTGATTGATAACAATGACTGACTTGGTCCAGAAAAAAAGACCAAGATAAACGCTTTCATTTTTGCTGGCAAGAAAGTTGCACGATGTCCTTCAGACAATTAAACATATAGCACACATCTCACTTGTGTTTGACATTTGGGTTTTATTGATTTCTCTTTTCAGACCTATGTCGACGGAACTCTGTGGATGACCAACCAGATGCGTCTCCCGTTCATTGATGTCCGACGTGTAAATGTTGAAGGCTTTACGGCACTGCGGAGTTTCCACATTGGCTATGAGATGTGCTGATTTCAAGTGATGACTTTGTCGCACTGGCCATACAAGGTATACTCACAAATACTTGAAGATCCTCCGTTTTGTATCCCTTGTGATGTGAGAGAGTGACAGTCAAACATCTCCTGCTCCATCATAAGGGATAAGTATTGCAATGTGAAAACAGTTAAGGATCTTTTTAACACTGTTATTTTTCATTTAGTTATTGGCTTTTTAAAAGAAATTGATTTAATAGATGGGTTTTGAAAAATATGTTCTGTAGAAAGTTGCATTTGAATGATTGGTAATTTAGATTAGTAATTGAAATTGTTAGTGGCTGTACCCTGAAAGGGGATTAAAGTATCGTAAACTTATTGTCCTCCTGAGAGGGTACGTAAGTCCCAACACATTTCAAGTAAATTTCAGTCTACCAGGTTTTTTAATCGTAGTATTTTTGTCATTTTAATGCTTGGCTAAATCTCCGCATAATCGCCAATGGCTGTAGGGATGATGTAAATCCAGCTACGGTCCATGCAAGTAGCACAGGTACTCTAAGTCCCCATGGTCCTTAGTATGGTGATCTCCCTTCAGTTTTTGGTGATATATAGCCTGCTTTTATCTGGTATTGTCCTTATAGTGCTATTAATTTTAACTTTACACACTAGTTTTAATTCAAATTGTGATATTCTAGTTGTTTTATGATAAACACATTTTCCATTTCAATGTAAAATATGTTCTCGTCACGGTATGGCTGTAAAGTATTGCCGATGTGACGTTAAATATTTAGTCGCTCACTGACTCACCGAAAGCTGAGAATGCCACATTCACAACATATATCTCTGATATTGTTTAGACCACGATCAAACCAATTCTTTATTATATATAAGGATTTAAAGTGATGATTTAACAACAGAAAATGTACCATGATTTAGTTTATATCTTCAAACTCTAGATTGTGTTTTCTATAAAATATCCCCCAGGCCAAAAGAAAATCTCTCCAAAAAGGGTTGTCTGACACAGATAAACAATCAACCGCATGTGAGCCCAGAGCTAACAAATGTCTTGCAGGAAAGATGTTATTAAGGCTTTTATTCCTCTTTATAAAGCGTTTTAATGGTCATAATATCATGGCATTGATAAAAGAATCTAGGTCTGTCATTCTGAGGCCACCTTAATGATAATGGGTTTTCTTTTAATTTTGTCATTTTTATCACTCCAAAGAAATTTGAAGATTTAATAAACGTTTTGGGCGGGTTAGGAAGTGCGGAAAATATGTGTACTAAAGTTGAACTAGCTAGGGTTTTAATGACAGTGATTTTCCCAGTTAAAGTCAAATTCCTTTTTCGCCAACTTGCAAGCAATCTATTTATGTGATCTAAGCGTCTTCTTGTGTTTATCACCCAAAGGTCATTTAGTGAAGCATTTAATAAATTATAAATAGAAAGAAACTCAGTGTTGAAAACTACAGCAAGTCAATGAAATAATGTCAGTTCCACTGCAAACTCTTAATTGGACTGTGTCTCTAAAGTAAACAAAGTCATTGGACGGTTTCTCATTTCTATTGAAATATTAAATTCTACAATGACTTCAGTAAATGCAAAAGCTTGCTATTTGGAATGTGCCTTGGAAATAAAGACAGCCATCGGAACGGGTTATAACTTCTATTAAAGTAGTAGTACCCAATCAGGTGAAAACCTATTGACAAAAAGGAGTATTGACAATACACTGAGTATTTATCAGTTGTTTCTGTTTCACCGGCTTTCTAGTTGTCATAATGTTTTACGTCTGTACACTTGGCAGAGTGCTACTTATCTCAGAGTCTGATTTGATTCTGAAGAGCTGACAATTAATGATACAACAAAGCTTTTCCTTAATGCGTTATGATTAAGGATGGGGATGTACCAAGCAATACAACTCATATGCCACCTAAACCAATTAAAACAGCTCTGCATATTGCATATAGTGCATTGATTTCAAACATAACTGTTATGTGGAAGTTATTTTACGTATATGTCGTCTTCGATTACTATGTTTATAGCATGTGCAAAGTAATAAATCGATCCCTGGTGTCATTCACGGATCTTGAACATATACATGTTCATTATGTGTGCTTCCATCCACCCATCAACAGACACGTACACGCAGACACAAACCTACAGAGACGCACACACAGTCACCCACATGCACACATATACCCTGACACAGACAGACAGACATGTTCCTCAGGGAGTTGAGATTGATAATACGGTGTGCCATCTGAGTTTGACATCCAATGATCGAGAGAAAACCAAGCGCCTTTGAGCAGCTGAGCTGGGTACTGGCGCTATACAAAATGAAATACATACATGTCAAATTGTCTGAAGTTACAAATATATTCCCAACCTGCACAGTAGTTAAGTCAAATATGGGTACACATACATGTTAGAATATCACAAAATGTCACAAGATCAACTGACAACTAGCAAATAGTTGTTAAAGTCAACAGGTGGTACAAGTAAAACCAGAGATCTAGTCACAGTAAACAGGCAGCAGAGTTATCCACCTACAGCCAATCACTCGTCTACTTTCAGTGTACGTTGATGAGACAATATATTTTACGAGACCTTCTTTCAGTTCCCCACTCATTATCACCAGCAATGTTGGTTTCAGAGAGCAAATTTAACTTAACATTGAGTGAGTATATTTCTGACCTTAATTGGACCAGAAGCCCAGAAACAAGGTTATAGCTTGTACTTCGGTATGCACACTTGACTATACACCCGAACTGTTAAAGATCTTCAACCTAACACCTGATATGCTGAACTTGATTTTTCGACAGATCCCAACCAAAGGTCTACAGAACATGTGCTGGGTCTTCCTACATTCCTGTCCATGTTATCGACCTGGTTGTCGAATGTTGGACCCTGAATGTATTGCTGTAGATGTTATCATCGGAACTCTTCAGAAAGATATTTTTCATTTCAATAACCATTTAAGAAAGTATCAGACTGTAGCGTTAGATTTACCTATGGCGTGTACAGTTCAAAATGAACACAATACCGTTATTATACCAACACTCGAAATTAAACGTACCCTACTAGTATTCAATGTGGTGATTTCAGTTCCATCAACCGGAAGCTCATTGTTGTTGATACTCTTTCAATCACTATGCTACTTCAGATGTATTTATCAAGTGCAGATCTTCACAAATGATCTTTCTGATTGTTTGACATCTCCAGACCCGAAAACATGCTGCTCTATCTTTGAACAATTTCTTCTGATGCCATGATATTACTTATATGACTATTATTAGTTCATAAAGGTTCTCCCTATACAAGTTCACATTTTCTTTACTTTCTAAGACCCTTGAAGGTCCGGGTAAGAAAGAGCCTTCAGTAACCCTTCTTGTCGTAAGAGGTGACTAACGGGATCGGGTGGTCAGGCTCGCTGGCTTACTTAATACATGTCACCAATACCAAATTGCGCAGATCGATGCTCATTCTGTGATCACTGGATTGTCTGGCCCACACTCGATAATTTACAAACAACGCGTGTGCAGCGCGTTTGTGTCCCATGTGACACGCGTGTGCAACGAGACGGCTTACTCCCGATTTTGACAGTCCCAATTTTGACAATGTACTTTCACACTTCTGTAATTGATCTACTAGTTGTCCCAATTTTGACAATGAACTTACCGGATGGTGTGTGACACTGGTCTTATCCCGAAGGAGAAGAACAGCTCAGGCAAAGTACCATATAACTTATCATGAGAGTGGATGATATCCACTAGTAAATCGTTGGTACACTTGTCAGCTCTTCTCGTGCCCGTTATTTCATATTACCGGTATGGATATAGGAACCAATAGAGCTATACATCTGTACTTGTCTCAGTTGATAGCATTCAAATAATTACCCTTATTTGGTACATCTAGTTATCCCAGTGTTGACAGCGAATCTTCACACCTTAACGGATCAGTTACCATGACGCTGGCAAAAATAGGACACTACCAACGTCACACACACGCGTGTACCACGGGACCAAGTGTCAGTTGAAAATGACGAAAAGCGTTAGGATTGCATACATAGAATTGTATGATTTTTTAATCGGGAAATTTGCTAGAAGAGGTCGGGGATGAACTATGGAATTTTTTAGTTGGTACTTGTTTTGAAATGTGACCATTTTTTTAATATTATGCAAGGCTTTCGTTTTATAAGTATCTTCTGTTAGCGGTATGTTATCTAGTGTAGGGTGGGAGTTATCTCCCTTTTTGGAACGAGCTTTTCGTGTTGTGTTAGCGCTGAAAAAGACCGCATGGTGTGCCGAGATGCACTGCAGGTTGATGGAAGCTGTGTTTTGTATAGAGGCGGAAAATTCACTCTTCAGGTACATATATTCATTTCTTTATAGTCTAAATGCACTGTAAAGTAGTATTTCCTACTTAGTCATAATTACAGGTAATTTCAAGTACTTTTTGAAGATTGTTTTCATTCATGCTTCACGGAAGATTGCATTACACCTAAAGGGTAGATTATTTGTTTACTTCTTTACCCATGCCAAAATATATTGTATCATTGAGTAATTCAGTTAAATGTTTAGTGTATTATAATGTCATGTAGGAATGACGAAAGTGTTTTCGGTTAATTTCTCCATATTTTCATCTCTGTATTTTATGGAAGAGTTCATTATTTCCATAGGGGTTACATTTTGCCATGTGCTTTTGAGCAATAACTTGAGATAACTATAAGAAATATTTTCAAGATATTGATACATTTTTTCACGTGAAGTGATAATGATATTTGCAATGTATTTTCAGTACTGTATTTTGCATTTGAGAGTTATTTCCATTTTGGGAGAGTCCATTATTTAATGGGTATTATTGTAGACTAAGTGTATTTGTGGATCAGGACCAGGGTTGTAAGAGTAATATTGATTGTACTATTGTTGTGTTATCAATGCAGTGTGTATTTATTTCTACATTTGTTCAATTTGCAGAATTCTGTCAACTTTATTTAATAAAGGACTTATTGGAAGAATTCCGCTTTATTTAACCATTGTTCATTCAAAACAAATTTCTGAAGAATGAAGAGTTACAGAGTGTCGATGTATGGACAACAAATGAAGAGTGTCGATGAATAGACAATTTAAAGGTGACATTAAACTTTGTTGATGAATGATGGCTACACAAGATTTCATTC